CATGCAAATATAACCTGCTATCAAAAAATTCACTTATAGCTTTGTATCAGTTTTGGAGTCATTCTTGCAGGGAAAGTGGGGATAAACTCAACCATGGTTGCTTTCCTTGCTGAACTCTCTCCTTTTCCCTTGGGATTTCTCTAGCTCACATCGTTTCTGTCTTTTGCACTCCCCTGCCAATCGACAACTTACACCCGCTGCAAATTTGGCCCACTAATATTGATTGCACGTCTTGCGCTTCCTCTGTCCACCCTAATTAGTGCATTTAGAGATAAGCAGCGTGCCCTGAGCAGCGAGCTAATGGCAGAGGGAGCAGGCCATGCTTTGTGGGGCATGCGTCCTTCCCGAGGGGGGCTGCCACACGCGTTCCTCCGTGACACTGTTCAGGGCACTGCATGCAACACTAATGAGTTCCAGGACAGGCAAACAATTTAGACAAGGGCCTCAGTGAGCTCCCCGGAGTTGTGTTAACCCCTGCACTTACTGCAAGAGAAAAGAGTATCTTTTAAGATAGAGCTGTTGGCTAAGCCGGACCCTGCTGCACGCTGCAGCCAGCACATACACGGGAACGCAGCGGCTTCTGGGGGACTGGGTTGCCACTGGGAAACAACGATACCTCTGTGAACAAATGAATTGCACCTCTATATCTGCTCTCAGCTGTTCTTCTGTCAATAACCATCTGCTTTTGTATCATTCTCTCATTCATCATTCTTCTCAGGGAAGAAACCCGTGTCTTCACCACTGACACCAATGTTGTCAACACTTCTGGCCTAAAACCTCTAGCCTAAAGTTAATAAAAGGAAGGGTTATCTGGCCAGCCCGGCGATCTAGTTATTATCGTAAATATTATAGTGTAGATTGGGATTCAGGACTCCCCAAGTCTTTGCCTGGCTCAGCTTCATATGTGCTCTGCAAATATTTTCAAAGGCTTCATTACTTTTGTGTTGAGTTTTGGAGAGCAAAAATCTGTGCCCTCGATGGCTTGACTTTCATCAGGACGGAAGGCTTAATTAGTTTGGCTTGAATGGTGAGCGCTGAGCACTCTGCTGCAAACTCCTTTGCCTTGACTGGCCAAGGCACTGCAAGGCTTGCACTGGCGCAGGCTCACCTTCATGGGCAGTGGGCTCCTTGCTTGTTGGTACTGAAGCTAAAAGAGGATGGGGAGCCAAGACATGGGGCAGGTCAAGCAAAAAGCAGTCTAACCATCTGAGCCCTACACCAGAGTCCTAAAAAGCCACTATAGATGCAAACCACATTAAAGCTCTGTTTATCCATTGTGATAGGATGCCAGGGTGCTTTG